TCCTGAAGAAGCAGGTCTGGTAGAGAAGGTTAGTGATTTCAAAAAATACAGAAAATGACAGGGAATGTATTGAGAATGATATCAATCACAGTGAATTGGCTGTTTCTTGTGCTGCTGTCAAGGTGAAGTTGGCTAAAGAGTTGAAATCACTTGGACCTGCGAATATGGAAAATAAGAAGAAAAAGAGGTTTGATAGGTTGAACCCCAAGAGTGGGGAGAGATCAATTACACCTTTTTAATGTCCTTAATTCTTTTTTGGAATTATAGGGGGGCAAGGAAAAAAGAAGCCTCCTTATACTTGAAGGAAATTGTTAGAGATCATAGTATTTTTTTCATCGGGCTTATGGAAACGAAGTTGGCTAGCATTGATAGAAAGCATATTGATTACTTGATTGGGAAAGATTGGGAGTACTTTCATCATCCTGCTGAAGGTACTTCAGGAGGCATTATGGTTCTATGGAAGAGGAATATGGTGTCTTTTGATATAAGGGAGACATCTTCACAAGCTATTGTTGGTAGTCTCTCGGTTCCTAACTTGGGAATTTGGAGAATTGCCACGGTGTATGGGAGCAGAAATTGTAAAGAAAGGGAAAGTTTATGGAAACAACTCAATGATTGTATGGAGGTTACAATTCCGTCTATTATTGGAGGGGATTTTAATTGCATTATTGACAAGGAGGAGAAAAGAGGAGGCAAGAGGTTCTTATTCTCTAAAGGACCAAGGGAGATGAAAAGTTTTATGGTAAATTCTGATTTCCATGACATTGGTAGTATGGGCCCAAGGTTCACTTGGTGTAATAACAAAGAGGGAACCTCTCGGATCTGGGAAAGATTGGATAGATGCATTTTGAACTCAGTTGCTATTCAAATGCTTCCTATGGCTATTATTAAGCATCTTGCTAGAGTAGCATCGGATCATAGTCCAATTGTGCTTAGTATGAAGGATAGAATTTGTGGTGAGAATAAAGTATTTAAGTTTGAAGACATATGGAGATCGTACCCAGCTGTAAAGAATATTGTTTACAACTCATGGATGAAGAATGATTATGGTGATGAATACAGTATACTCCAAAGGAAGCTCAAATGTACGATGAAGGCTTTGTTTTTCTGGAATAGGAATAA